TCGTCCGTCATATGACGGACATCATCAGAGCAAGGTAACATCGTCACAACAAAATTCAAGCTAACGAGTTAAGCTTTCTTGACTCGGACGGACGGACAAAAGCTTAGCACGTTTTCACCGGAATCGAAAGAGATAGCCTCGGAAACAGCGTCAGCATGAATCTTTCAGTAAAGCCAACCGACAGTTGCTCAAGAGGAATCCGCATTCGTCTTCTGGTGGAACCGATCTTCGAATCTTTTCACCTTAAACTTCCACTCGAAATGGAAGTAAGCTCAAAATTCATATCTTCGATTGCATTTTGATGCTCATGCCTCATATTATGCTCACACTTTAAAACGTTTTAGCTTACACACATATATTAGATGCGATTCCAACCTTAGTCCAAAAATTTGCAATATATCTTGACCACCGCTCCGATTTAATCCTTGTGGGTTTCTCACATTGACACAAGTATACGGGCGTTTTTAGGTAAAATATACCAAGAATTGTGAAAATCACTTTATTTTTCATTAATTTTAAAGTAGGTGAGTCTCCTCTACTTGTTAATTGGAATTAGTTGTTAGTATAAAAGCCTGATGTGATGTTGCCTGTCAAGTGGCGGGAAAAAATGAATCTCCAGACTCGAAGAAGATCGTCTCGAGATTTCAGTATGGCCAAAATGGATCCGCCATAGTCGTCTACTGGGCTCGACCGTCAAAGCTTACATCACACAATTTCACTCAAAATGGAAGTGAACCATTGACTTTTGCTGGGAGAATCGGAGCTCGCTTGTCTCAATCTCCGAAATCTCCCCTTTGAGGAGCGCAGACGCGCTGGCATTGTTCCACATTTACGAAACATTCTGCATCGCTTGGAAGAATTGCTCTCCCCCGAAAGCACTTCTCGATTTGTCCTTGTCCAAGAGGACTCAGAATTGTGCCATAAACACAATCCAGACCTTTTTCAACCATTTCATCTTCCCTATTCAGGACTCTTCGTCCTCTTGCGAGGCCTTGGAAGTTCACCTCTTCTCTCTAGTGTTGTCGACCAGAAGGAAGGAATTATTTGATAATTTGCTTTTTATATGAATTGCTCTAACATTTTTGAGGGGAATTTCATTTCGTATGAAATTGCATGAAGAAGACATTCGTTAGTCGTGAATCGCGTTGTACTGCAGCCGTTTGGCCTTTATACAACGTTCAGGTTGGCGCACTCCACAAGTTTCTTGTTTCGGGTGAAAAAGTGCTGAGCTTTCCTCCTTCCTTTCCATCATTCTATGGACATCATCAGAGCTGGGTCTCATTCCTGTAAAAGTCCCACACTAACACTCGGTCAGGAAGACTATCCGGCTCTATCTTGAGCCAAAAGAAAATTAAAAACCGAGATAGATATAGAATTGTTATGCTAATTATTTTTCATATTGATTCTGTTACTTTTGCTGGAGTGTGTTTGTGTGTGAATGTATGTGTGTGTGTGTGTGTCTGTGTGTCTGTGTGTCAGTTTGACACAATACCGGTCCTACATCAGAGTTGTCAAGAGGCTGATGTCAGGTTCTGATCCTCAAGGCGAAATGACCTTGACCGAGACTGCGTAAGTCCGTAAGCAATTATGGGTGAGATAATGAGATGCGAGTTTGTAAGCATGTAAGTCAAGTTACGAAACCACTTGCCCTAACCTTTCCGTCTGGGGTCATTAACGTTTAACCCCTCAAGGAAAGACATAACTGGGGTTGCGTAATCTGACATGTCTGGTCTGGTTGATGAGCTTACTCTAACATGTTGGACGAGTGTGAGTGAGGTTAGAAGCATGACCGAAAAGACAAATTGAGTCGCTTTCTTTTGGACGGCGGCTCAACACCCTCTCTCTCTCCTTCACTCTATCAATCAAGCAGAAGTAGTTCCTACTCAACTTTCTCCCAATGTTCAGCAGCCTTCTGGCTCTAATACCAAGTTCAGGTTGATGCAGTCCACGAGACATCTTCCAACGTTTCGGTAGAAGACGGGCTGAGACTCATTCTTGCTTTATTTTCTATGAAATGTATACTGGATGCGAGCAAAATGTAAGATACAGGTGGATATAAAAAGGTTTGTTTAATTCACGTATACTCGAGTGCGTCTGTTTGCTAACGTCTGTACGCAAAATCGGTCATAACTCAGAGCAATTAGAAGAAAGCTTAACATCAACCCCGAGTCGTCAAGGCCTAATCACTCAGGTAGAAACGGAAAAAAGGATGGCAGAGATTGCGCTAGTCCGTAAGTCACCCTAGTCGATTTGATGAGATGTAAGTAGTCAATCGTAAAATTTCGGTTACGAAACCGCCGGTCCAAATCTGGATTGTTAAGCCTTAATGATTCAAGGACGTATTCTTGCCGTGGTCGCTTCTGCTTCGGGTAGCCGCCGCTATCGGTGACTTCTTTCAAGAAGAGTCTAGACAAATTTTGCATAATGCATGTTTTGCGAAGAGATGAAGTTTTCATGACTCGCGACGAGCTTACTCACGGAACCATGCATATTATCGAATGAAATAAACCATTTTTGATGATAGCCTCTAAGATTAGATGAACTTTAGTGAGTTGTTGTCACAACTTGGTCTTGTTGTCATGGCGACATGTTAGAACGCACCTAGTCCGAAGTCGTCTGCCATAGTAGTTGTCATGATTCTCAGCATCAGACAGTGGACTTGGCACATTCTCAAACTTTTCGCCGGCATCGTAGTCGGCATCATCAGTCAGTTTTGCCATTCTGCGCACCAAGCTACCAACTAGTCGAAAATACAAGTCTCGACAAAATTTCTGCCGAAAACGGTTACACTATCACTGTTCTTTCTGTCATTGTCTATCTATCTACTCTTTAACCTCTTCTCCCACTGTCGCCCTAGCACAACTTACCACTTGTTTACATTCCACTTATAAGATGTATTCACCCAATTCCGT